TCGAATCCACCCGGCCTGTTGTTGCCGGCGCGCCCGCATATTGCTGCTGCTGCTGACGAGGTAAAATGGCACTCCGTCTCTCGCGTGGCCACAGCTTCTTTCGTTGAACCCGTGTCGTGCGTGTCTCGGCCAACCCCCACTTCAACGCCGAGAGGAACTGCAGCTCAGCTTTTCTAGAACCCGTGGAGAGATATGACTGCTGGAAGCCCTCCAGAAGCAAGCCGGCCAGTTCCTTTTCTTTTTCTCGTATCGAGGACGCAAAAATAGCGTGGCCTACCAACGGCCTAGACCTTGCATCTCGTCAGGCCCATTTTGCCTCTCTCGACGATGACTTCGTGCCCAAGTGGCGAAATGCGCCCGCGCCCTCTTACTACCTTGACTGAGTAATGAGCCTACCGGATGCCGTCCTTTCCCCCTCCAGCTGCTGATTCGCACTCCCGGCGGAGACCTGACTTGGGCCACGCCTCGGGTCTTCCGCGATTCAAGCCCAGAACTACGCCAAAAAGGACTGCTGAGGGAATTTGATCGTGTTCTGTTACAACCTCAAATGCTACGAAACCCAGGTATCTGAGGACGAGAGGAAAGAAAGAAACGCCCGTCGGCTCAACCAGACGCCTAATTGCTTTTTTTTCTCATCGTTCCGTTACAGCCAATCATACAGTTGACCGTACAGTATCGCGTTACAAGCGCCGCTGAAAAAGTGCAAGCCAGAGAAAAACCATGTCTGCGCCAAAGAACCGCCTCCCGCGACTAAAGCTCATCCGAGGCTACGCCGCCGTGTCCGCCGCCGTACTTGTCCCGCCCCCAGTTAGCCGGATCGCCGCCGGGGACGCATAGCCCGAGCCGCCAGAAGTAATCCCTGTGAGCGAAGAACAGCTGCCAGAGCTTGAGCCGCGTCGGGAAGCCCAGGTGTCTCTTCCTCAATGACCTCTCCGTCTCAACTTCTTCCACGTCTCCCTTACCAATACCCGCCTCCTCGATTAGATCTCGCGCTGTGGACTCGAATAGTCCGCCGTCCCCCTTCGTGATGCATCTCGAGTCGCTGTCGCCGCGGCAAACCAACACGTCCTCTATCGACGGCGACAGCTCCGACTTTGCAATGTAGAACTCGCCGGCGTGCGGCTTGTATCCCCACTCGGTCAACGGCAGCAACGGCACGGGGTCACCAGCGTGCGTTACGCGACGGTAGGTCCTGTTCATCGCGTTCCGCTCCTCTCCATCCTCCTTGTCCAGCCCGAAGACGGTGTCAACGTAATCGCAGAGTCCCTGATTGCCAACCTTGGGTTCCCCGAACGTCGTGACGATGACATCATCCCATCCGAGGGACACCTTGATCTCCAACGCCGCGAGCATCGCCACCGCTCCGCCGAGACTGTGCCCGACCAGGTGGACGGGATAATCGGGGTACTCCTCCCTCAGCCTCTTCAGCTCCGGCAGCACGAGCTTCCTCGCCTGCCGCCATGACGCCAGAAACCCCATGTGCACGGTGCAGTCCTCACAGCGGTGCTCGCGCGGCGGCTCGTCGTCGCCGTCGTCTGGCGACGGGTACGGGACATACTCCTGCGGGATAGTGCTGAGATCCACGACGGTGTTGGTGATGCTGTACGTTCCGCGGAACGCGACGATGATGGCCTTGTCGCCGACCTCGCCCTCGAAGCGGCCCTCATCGCCCGGGCGGCGCACGCCGTGGTCGACGGCGATGTAGCCACAGCTGTCGCTCAGCAGGACGCCCGTGTTCCATGCCGTGATTAGGTTGAAGGAGGGGAATTCGTTGCAGCGCGATACGCAGGAGAAGGGCCGCGAGATGCCCGAGGTGCCGACGCAGTAGGTTATGTCGACGATGCGGGAGGTGCGTTCGAGGGAGCGGAATAGGTCGACGGATATCGTTGGGGGAGTATTCGCGGTGACGGGATCGAGGCCGAGGATGGGGTGTTGTTGCGAGGGTTCGGTGGGCGTGGCGGTGGCTAGAAAGCCGAACAACGGCGCGAGCTGGAGCGGACGTCGCATCGTGAGGGTCGCGATACCGATCTGTGGTGTCTTTCAAATGTCTTTATGGAATGCAGGCTGTGGTTGATGATCGAGGCCGCGAGACATTGCGCAGGGGGGTCTGCCACTTGATGCAACGGTGCCGGGGAATGGGCGTAGATAATTATAAAACGCAGCTCAACAGTAGGTAGGAATGGGGTCGAAAGAGCAGGTGGGCAACCGAAGCGACGATGACCACGTTAGAACGGTCAAGCAAAGCCCGTCAATACCTGACCTTCCAAGCACACATGATGGCAACTGCACCTTGTGAGCGTGCTGCTTGGAAAGGGAAATTGCGTCGTGGAGGGAGGATCCGCGACGACGCAGCAGAACAGGATACCGACGTCTCAGACTGATCTCGTGAGGTGAGCGTGGTGAGGTCATATGGCCATGCAGAAAAAAGGACGAGACAGCTTCCCGTTGAGTGGGAATGCGGAGGCGCGGCAAAGCGACGATTGCCGACGTATGGTTGGTCCAGAGTGCGTCGGTCCCTGGAAGCCCGCTGGGGAAAAGCCTGGGGTTGGGCTGCTTTGCCCCGCGAAAGTGTGCTGTCAGACGCATCTAGCCGGCATGGTAATGCTCCCCCCCTTCAAAAGCCCACCTGCGCAACTCGTTGGGGAAATTCATTTCAGCAGTCTCATGCGAATGTTAAGGTGGATGCTCACTCAGGTGGGCGGGAAGTCTATTGATTATTCTATTTTCGTCAAGTACAGTTGTGTTGTCGGACAAGTCTTCTCTTGTCTCCTCGTGATTCGGGGGGAAGAGGATGTTGGCCCTCCCTGCTCCTTTTAGGTTCATACGTCAAATCTCATGCCAAGGTTCGATCACCAGGCCTCAGCGTCTGTTTCATCTTTCCCATTCTGGCTGTTTGCTTTTTTTAATGTTCATCTCAACGTGACCCTTCTGAACTGCTGGGTACGGGCTGGATGCTGAAGAATTTCGCTCGGATGTCGTCCGAGTTGGATGTGCATGCAACGGCTCTCCTGGCACGCCTATGCGACCGCGCAGACACTCCGCTGGCGGTGCCGTTGCATACGAGAGGAACGGATGCCGTTCCGGATGCCTCATAATCGGCGGCGCTGTAGGTGGTGTTAGTTGTTGCGTGAGAGCTACCAGGCAGGTCCTCATCAAGTCACTTACCCATCATCGCCTGGGCAAACCTTCTCGATCACAGTGATGGTGTTGTTTTGCCAGATAAATTGCACCATCGAAGTCTCGCAGCTATATCTTGGCGTGCGACCGTCGCCTGATACCGGCACGGAAGAGGCGTTAAGGTGGCACGGCGTGTTGAGGGTGGTGCTGTCGTCGTTGAAGGTGAAGTCCAGCGAATCCGCCGTCTGGCCGTCCGCAGACTGAGCAGCAAAGTTCTGGATCTGGAAATCGTCCGGCAGGTTGCAGTTGCCTGCGTCCGCCATGGCCATGACGGAGTCCGGGACCGCTGCCATGTAAGAGACCATGGCCTGGGCCGCAGGGGCAGCGGCAAAGAGGGGGGACAACTTCATGATGACCGGTGGTATGTGTGTAGTATCTAGCTGGGGTTCAAAAGATGGAGATATGAGCCTCAAGTGAAGGATGTCAAGCTCAGGATAGAAGAGACGAAAAGTTTGGATGAACGATGGAGCGTGGAAAGGCAGCAAGCAGGGTGGTCTATAAACAAATCCTAGGCAGATCCTCGCGGTCAGGTCCTTCCAACTACGTAGCTAGCTTCACGTTTAAATACGAATTGGTTACTGGCAGGATCAGACCCAGAAAGATCTCCCTCCCGCTGCCCTAGCGTTGCTGCGTGCCTTGCAGACTTCTTCAGGGGCCCGGGAGGGATGAGCATGGCTAAACATCTCCAGAGGCGCGCAAGCTCTCTGCAGATCCTGATGCAATCATCCGGTCCGGCCGTGCCTACGGGAATGGCCGAGTTGAGGGGTTGGACGAGCATGACTCCAGTTTAGGGGAAACAGCAAGCACTGCCGTCATTAAAGATGGAGCACAGGGCGAGGACGGAGAGGAGGTTGATGCTCGCTTGCATTACACTCAGCGTTGCGTCCGTTGGTCGTTTAGCAGTTGGTCCAGGGGAGCCGCCCAGCCTTGATTGGCCGCTGGGTGTTTCATGTTTCCCAGCATGGCATCCTTACAAGCTGGACCTTCCAACGTCCTTGCTGATGTTGATCTCTTTCGGCCCCCCTTTTGGGTAAAGGCCAAATCCTGGCTGAAGGGGCCGATTTATTCGCCGCCATTTATGATTCGGACGGCATTGTTGGGAGGCGGTGTTCAAGGGGTTGGAGACTGGAAGCTGAGAGGTTGGGGGCTGGGCTGTCCGCGAAATAAGATACCCGTACTTAGATGTAGAACAGGGCAGCAGGAGACCAAAATGCTTGATTGACACGGCGCCAACGCGCGGCTCTTTCCACGGCAGACTCCTTGCCGATTCGGGAATCACGCATGTTGGAAGAAGCAACCATGCTGAGCTGGCAGTGGGTTTTCTCGCGGAGGCTCTTAAGCTCGAGGGCAGATACGAGCTGCATGCGGTGAATCGTCGCCTTCAGTCGAGGCACAGCATTCGATAGACTTGTATCTAAATTTGTCCCCCGAAAGAGTGTTGGTCCATGTGGAAAGTCGGTGAGATGAAGCGACAACAGCACTGCGAGACCGTCTAGAACAAGGTCTCTGAGCCTTAACACATATATACGTATCAACCAGCTCAATCTGTTAAGGATGCTCACTTGCATCTGGATAGCCAACGGACCAATCAGAAATCATCGGCGATGGCTAGCAAACCAGCCAGCCAGACACCCAGACCTGCCTGCAGCAGCGCAGCGCAGCCAGCCGGATCTCGCTAACCCCCAAAGCACGTGACCGCACAAACCCACTCGCGAAATTTCGATTCCACCCCGAACTTTTTTTTTTCGGAAAGACGTCTTTTGATCTTTGACCACCACGACAATACTAACCCGACAACCCAACCGTCCATCAGCAGCATCAAGATGGCCAAGGAAGCCCCCGCCCGCACTGGTCTGGCCACTGGCCTGAACCACGGTCACGTACGTCGCCTCGCAATCCCGACCTGAAGAGGAATTTTGCATCCCCCGATTTTCTCTCGATCGATCGACTTCCGAAGAACTTGAAGAAGAACTTGTCTCCGAAAGGGGAGGGGAATTCTCATGAGGACAAGGAGTGAACATCGATTGAGAGCAAAGAGGAGGAAGAGAATAATTCTCTGAAGGATGCATGACACCGCTTCGTCTCACCTCGTGGAGGATCTCTGCACATCATACCCTCTCTTCCACGAGGGGAGCGAGCACCCTCGCTTTTACTGCAGAAGATGGACGCTGACCGGTTGTGATTTCCCCCAATATAGAAGACCACCGCTCGCGTTGTCAAGCCCCGTGTCTCCCGCACCAAGGGCCACCTCAGCAAGCGCACCTCTTTCGTCCGTGACGTCGTCAAGGAGGTTGCCGGGTAAGTTCACCACAATCCCCATTTTAGTAGCCTGGCAGACGACTGTCTGCCAATTCATGCAACACCGTTGCTAATCATCACTCCCCTCTTCAGCCTCGCTCCCTACGAGCGCCGTGTCATCGAACTCCTCCGCAACTCCAAGGACAAGCGTGCCCGTAAGCTCGCCAAGAAGAGGCTCGGTACCTTCGGCCGTGCCAAGAGAAAGGTCGAGGAGATGACCCGCGTCATCGCCGAGTCCCGCCGTGTCGGTCACTAAACGGAACAAATCAAATTAAAATCGGGTTTCATGTGCTGCACTACGGCAAAGTTTTTATCGGGGTCGGTTTTGGGCAACAAAAGTATTAAATGGGTATAAGGCGTGTGGTCACAAAAGTGGTCTCTTTCCCGGGAAAGCTTCCTCACGGTTTCTGATGAAGGCTGCTGCATTTGCATCATGGGATAGCATTGCAGCTTCACGACAAATACCAAAATTTCAAGCAAGCCCGTTGCTGCCTCGATTTGCTACTTCATGAACTCGGTCTCGCTTGTGCAATGTGACTTGTATGGTATGATTGCCTCTCTACATGCTCAATTCATCGGAAGCATTGGTCCCATCCCTCTAAGCCTTAAACTCCGCCCATGGATACTGCGCACCGTCCGCACAGAGCAGCGCTAGATGCTTTACATTAAAAGGGAAAACAACTCCATCTACTTCTTTCCAGGGAGCTTAAGCCACTTGGGTAGTTTCTTGGCCACACTACCCTCACCTCCCTCGCTCTTCTCTGGCTTAGCCACTGCGGCCGCCTTCTGACCGTCGTCTTTCTCATCTACGTACTTGGGCACGTCTGGTACTGTAATGTCTTTGGCCCTCTGCGCAATGTCACCCTTCAGGAAAGGCTTCTTGCGAATATCCGCCGGCACGCTGTCATCCCAAACCAGGCTCAGAAGAACATTACGTGTGAGCTTGTAGTCGTGAATGAGCCGGTTCTTGGGCGTGTTCTCGTCCTTGATGACGGTTTTGCTGCCAGGAATCACCAGTCTGAAAGCTTGACCCGTGTGTGCCATTGCTTGCCTCACTCCTTGGTAAAGCGTGGCGCCGCTGGCCTCGTGGCCGAACTCCCACTGAGCAGAGGTGTTGTCGGGAAATCTTACTTTCACGACAACTTTCGAAACGGACGCTAGCTTTGCCTCCTCTGCCTGAGCCTGTGCCTCTAGTTCTCTGTCTGATAGGAGCCTCTTGTTCTGGGAGCTTTGCTGAAGTCGAGCCTGGTGCAGTTGGGCATGTGCGATCGTCGGCGTGTAGTCGTTTTCTGATACATCCGCAAGAGCAGCTGCTGGTGTTGTGCCGCTCGGCGCCCGGAAAACACTGACGGGTTGCAAAGGATCGAGAGGTTCGGCTGGGTCCACGTCCATTGCTTCAGGCTCTGCCGCTGCCTGGTTCGCCGCCTCCTGGAGCGGCGCTTCTTTTGTTTGTTGGTTTTGTGAGTCCTCCGTACCCTCCATCGATGTGGGCGCTTCCTCGGTTGCAGTCTGGGCGGCTTGCTCAGTCGGCGCCGGTTGCGTCGCGGGCTCGGGGGCGGCAACCTCAACCTGACTATTCTTCTTCGCTTCGGCCTCGACCTCGGCGAAGAACTGACTGATCTTCTCCATGGCGTCAAACAAAGTCTGCTCCGTCTTTCGGAAGGACAGCCTAACCAGGACACTGCCTGAGTTGTATCCGAGTTGCGACAGAGTCTTCTGGAAATCCTCGAACGTCGCCAGCTCTCGGCCCATGATGTTGAGCACTGGCGTCTCGTAGTACATCTGGCCGCTGCCAGTTGCTCCTCCGCTTGTCGTCAGCGCGACGCCGCGCGCGGTGATGTTGAGGTTCTTGCCTTGGCTAACACCGCTCTCGAACTGGCGCAGAACCTTCCATACCGTGAAGTCGCTCGGGAGTTTCTCAATCAGTCGCCCGTTCGGCGCTGTGTTTGCTTCGGGCATCGGCAGTTGGAGGGCGACCGAGACGGCGGAGGGAGTGTTCGACTTCTGGACGAGCTCAAGCTTGGCGCCGGGGCTGAGACCGCTTACTCTCCAGACGATAGACAGATCGACAGTCTTTTGCTTATGTCTGCCAACTGGTTAGCAAGTGGTGACAAGGACCTTCTCATGGTTCTCTGCGGGTGCGTAACATACTTGAGGATGTACTTGTCGCTCGACAAGTTGAGCTTCTTGCAAGCCTCTTGCAGGACATCTGTCATATAGGTGCCTGGGCTAACCTTGACGGTGGCCCTTCGCAGGTCCGAGCCGATTACCACCACATGCGAAGACATTGTGGTAATATGATTCTGGTGTTTGATTTTGCAAGATCGTATCCGACAGCGGGAGAGATGTTGGCCGTCGTGAGGTGAGGTAGGAGAGGTTGGCCTTCAGCTGTTGTATCAGGGTCAAAGTGTCGTTGGCGGGGTTGAATGCTCGGCGGGGGGCAACAGCAATGTTGCGTCAAGCTCTCGCGGCTTGTATTACTGATGGAAGTCGGCGGAACAGTGAGGAAAGTGACGGCCAGGCACTTGGCAGCGGTGTTGTTTTGTCCAAGGCCGGTATTCTAGGGTAAGAGATTGTATAAACCAAAGACTTCGTCTTGCATTCAGGTTCTAAGCATAGTCGAGGTACCTATTTCTCAATGTAGGTAGGGAAGGCGGGATACGTGAACAGGCCAGGCAGACAGGAGGTAGTCAGCAGAGGCAACCGGGGACGTGCATCATCGCTGAGCACTCACTGAGAGCTGCCCAGCCCGGCAGCAAGCTCGGGCCAATCAGCTAGCTTCAGCCCGCTGTACGTGGATTTTCCGACCGCTTCGGCCGCGCCATGCGTGTTTGCCTTGCCCTGCAGTAGTAGCAGAGCAGTGGTGTACCTCAGCATTCCGATCCCGTCAACCTCCAATTGCAGCTCCCACCTGCCCATCCATCACGACCACCTTCGACGCAACACCAGGGCTATCCACAGCCAACCCCGCGATACATCACGACCTGATCCTCGACGGCCCCTCTGCTTCGACTCAACACACAAGCTTCCCAGTCCCCAGCGGCCCCTCGCTCCAGGAGCCAAGATGGTATGCTCGTCACTCCCCCTCCTCAGCCTCGAGATGCAGACCCCCAAGCTAACTTGTCCTCCCAGAGCTCCCCCTTCTCCATCAGTGCGTTCCCCTCAACCCGATAGAGCCCCGATGTGCATCGAATCCGCCTTCCTAACATGTAATCTTCCACAGATGGCGGTGCCTGCGTTGCAATGGTCGGCAAGGACTGCGTCGCAATAGCCTGCGATCTCCGTCTCGGTCTCCAGGCCCTGACCGTCTCCAACAACTTCCCCAAGATCTTCCAGTACGGCGACGTCTTCCTGGGCCTCACCGGCCTCGCCACCGACGTCACTACCGTCGGCGACCTCTTCCGCTACAAGGTCAACATGTACCGCCTCCGCGAGGAGCGCAACATCGCCCCTACCACCTTCGCCAACCTCGTCAGCAGCTCCCTCTACGAGCGCCGTTTCGGCCCCTACTTCGTCTCCCCCGTCGTAGCCGGTCTCGACCCCAAGACGGGTAAGCCTTTCATCTGCGGTTTCGACAGCATTGGCTGCATCGACTTCGCCAAGGACTTCATTGTCTCTGGTACCGCCTCTGAACAGCTCTTCGGCATGTGCGAGAGCTTATGGGAGCCGGATCTGGTACGTGCCTCTCTCGAGTTTGCAAATTTCCCAAATTTTACGACAGGTTCTGACAACATTTTCAACAGGGCCCGGAGGAGCTTTTCGAAACGATCTCCCAGTCTCTGCTGAACGCCGTTGACAGAGATGCACTGTCTGGTTGGGGTGCGCACGTGTACATTATTGAGAAGGACAAGGTCACCAAGAGGCTGCTCAAGGGCAGACAAGACTAATTTGACGACGGTGAGAAGTGGTGGGAAGAACGTGCTCAATAGGACCGCTGCAAATAGACGGTTTCCAGCTGTACCAATAGATGGATACAATCCACTATGACGGCCTACGAGGCCTACATGAACTAGACGAATGACCTTGTTTTACAGTCACTTTCTTTTGGGGCTTCTAGCCTAAGTGTGGTGCTATGGCGTCGTCTTATGTACACTGTGTGTAAGATATGCCAGCTTTGCTATGTTACAAGTGGTCTATGATCTAGCTTGAGCTGATCTCTATCCATCTAAGCCTCCTTCTTTGCCTTGGAGGATGCGATCGCTTTCTTCTGACTGAAGAACGATCTCTCAACAGCCTTAAGACCCTCATCAATGAGACTAGAGAAAAGTTAGCATATCGTCGAAAAGCTAGTCGAGGGGAAACTTACATGACGGGGGCGCTGATGTACAAGACCGCCTTCCACTCGTTCCAGTTCAGGGGCAGAATGGAGAACAGGCCCTGGAGGAAGGGGGTGTAGAGCAGGGCGAAGTGGAGAGCCATCGAGAGGGTGATGGCGTAGACGAGCTTCATGTTGGCCCAGAGAGGCAGAGACAGAAGAGACTCGCTGGACGAGAGAGCGTTCATGGCGTTGAACATCTCAATGACGACGAGAATTGACAATGAAACCGTCGAGGCAGACTTGGCGGCGTTGTTGGCGAACATCTCGCAGCCAATCTCGGGGAAGTCGCTGGAGCAGCGGTGGAAGTGAGAGAGGTGCGAGAAGTTGATCTGGGGACCCTCGGGGTTGTACATGAACCACCAAGCGTAGCCGGCCACAGTCGCAACACCGACGTAAGTGCCAATGACCAGGTAGCGGAAGAACAACCAGCCGCCAATCAGAGGCTCGTCACGCTTTCTCGGCTGACGTCTCATGATATCGTGGTCAGGAGGGTTGAACGACAAAGCGGTAGCGGGAAGTCCGTCGGTGACCAGGTTGACCCAGAGAAGCTGAACAGGAATCAAAGCCTCGGGCATGCCAAGGGCGGCAGTCAAGAAGATAGAAACTACCTCGCCAATGTTGGATGAGATAAGGTAGCGAATGAACTGCTGGGTGTTGTTGTAAATGGAACGACCCTCCTCAATGGCGCTCTCAATGGTGGCAAAGTTGTCATCAGCGAGAACCATGTCGGCGGCAAGCTTGGAAACATCAGTACCGGAACCCATGGCAACACCAATATCAGCCTTCTTGAGAGCGGGGGCATCGTTGACACCGTCACCAGTCATGGCAACGACCTCACCCTGCTGCTGGAGCAGGTCAACAAGCTTCGACTTGTGGCTGGGCTCAACGCGAGAGAATAGGGAAGCAGTACGAGCAGCCTCGGCAGCCTCGCTCTCACTCAAGTTCTCAAATTCTCTGCCGGTGAAACTCTTGCCCTTGAGGTCCTCATACTCGCTGAAGACACCAATCTGTCTGCAGATGCTCTCCGCAGTGTTGCGGTTGTCTCCAGTGATGACAATAACACGAATACCAGCGGCCTTGCACTGGCGAATAGAGGCAGCGACTTCGGGGCGAGGGGGATCAAGCATGCCAACCAGACCAAGGAAAGTGAGATTCTGCTCGAGCTGTGCGTACTGTGCGGTAGACTTTGCTGACTTCAACAGGGGGTTGTTGCCAACGTTGTCGACACTGGCGAGAGCAATGACACGGAGACCACGGTTGCCGTAGTCGACAACCTCCTTGGAGATCAGATCAGAGAGCTTGCGGTCGAGGGGCTGGCGCTTTCCATTGGCGCCAACCAGAGCGTGAGTGCACCGTTCAATGATAGACTCAGGGGCGCCCTTGACAAGAAGCTTCTTCTCTTGGCCGTTTTGAACCAGAACGGACATGCTCTTGCGGTCTCTCGAGAACTCGTAGGTAGCAAGGCGGGGGAGATCATTCTCGTACTTGGAGCTAGCGTAGTGAATGCAGTCCTCGGGGTTGCTGTTGGACGGGGCGCAGGGACCAATCTTCTCAACCAAAACCCTCAGAGCACCCTCGGTAGGCTCGCCGACATTGGAGTAGGCGGCACTTCTAGCGTCGTACGCGAGCTTAGAGTCGTTGCAGACAGCCGCAACTTCAGTCATCTGGCGAATGGTAGCAGACGAGCGGGTCAGATCAGTGACCTTCTCGCCGTTAAAAGAGATGGAACCCTTGGGGGCAAAAGTAGTGCCTTCAACGTCAAGCTCGACCAAGTCGCTTCCATTCTCGTTTAGGTAGACGATCTTGCTCACACTCATCTGGTTGGTGGTCAGAGTACCGGTCTTGTCGGAGCAGATAACGCTGCAGCTTCCCAGTGTCTCAACCGACGGCAGACTTCTGACAACGGCGTTCTTTGCAGCCATCTTGCGCGTGCCCAGAGCCAAACAGGTGGTGATAACGACAGCGAGACCTTCGGGAATAGCGGCAACGCCAAGAGAAACAGCGATCTTGAGGTAGTAGATAGCACCCTTGGTGAAGCCTCCGTGACTGGGGTCGCTGAAGTGGGGGATGTTGATGAGCCAAACCAGAATGCAAATGACCGTAATGACCTTGGCGAGGCTGTCACCAAAGTCGTTGAGCTTCTGCTTGAGGGGAGTCGGCTCGGAGATCTGAGCAGTGATGCTCTCGTGAATGTCACCAATGGCCGTCTGAGATCCGGTCAGGACAACGACAGCCTTAGCACGACCAGTAACAACAGTCGTTCCAGAGAACAACATGTTGACCTGGTCCTGCAAAACGGCCCGGTCATCCTTGACGACGAAGGTGTGGTCCTTGCCAACACTCTCACTCTCTCCGGTCAGGATAGCCTGGTCGACGGCGAAGCTGTTGCTCTCGATGGCGACAAGTCTGCAGTCGGCAGGGATGCGATCACCAATGTGGACGGACACGATGTCACCGGGGACGAGGTCCTCGGCCTTGACGCGGGAGACATGGCCATTGCGAATGACGTTGGCCTCGTTGGCGGAGTACTCCTGGAGGGCGGCGATGGCTTTCTCGGCGCTGCTCTCTTGTGAGACACCAACGACGGCGTTGAGGATGAGAATGGTCAGAATCTGGAATACCGGCAATGTTAGCCCGAGAAAGTCTTGGTATTGTGGGTATATGCATCTGAGATTACGTACCACTGCTGGGTCAACGAAGGCGCTCCAGCCTTCCTCCTGATCGAACAGGGCGAGGACAAACGAGACGGCGGCTGAGCCGAGAAGAATTATCACGAGTTGGTCCTTGAACTGCTCGAGGATAAGCTCCCAGATGGGAGTGGGCGGGTCTTCGGGGATGACTGCGGACAGACCGTTAGCACGGAGCTATCGTGGGTTTCGGGTTTCGTGTCGCAAAGTAACTCACCATTTCTGCCGTGCTTCGTTCTTGAAGCAATGACTTGCTCATCAGTGAGACCGGTATTGGGGTTCACTCCCAGGGTAGAGAGGACCTTGTCGGTGGGTGAGGCGAAAGCGCTCTCCATCGCGAAAGATGCGCCGAGCGCGGAACGTGGCTTATCGAGAACCGGCAACAGCTAGCCGAGCTTCAACGGTGATCGATATCGAGATCCGGCGTATTGATGGGAACGAGAACGGTAGCTCTTCAACAGGGGAGGAAGAGGGAAAGAAACTCCAAACCTATACCGAACAAAAGGTTTAGGAGTCGAAGATATGAAGGAGAGAAGGTGCTGGAAAAAGTAGGTGATCAGACAGCCAGCATATCTTATTGCACTGGCGGTGGGGCAGGAAGCTGAAATCGTCGCCGAACAGCCAGTTTCCAATACGCTCTACGTGTTCGTTCAGTGGCCGGTGCCAGGCTACCCTTCTGCAACTCTACTTCTTTTTGCCGTCGCGAAAGATCCCGAGCTAGTCCGTCTACGGCTAGTCTCGGTGGGGGGCTCCCCCTGCTACAGAGGTCCCAAGGTCCCAAGGTCCCAGCTTTTCCCCTGTGTTTCCCTGTTCGGATCGGGGACTAGCCACTGCGACGATGAGGCTAGAAAACGTGGGGCAAGGGCCAATCAAGGTCTCACGCAGCATGCTGCAGACGGCAACTCCAGCCAGGGCGGGGAGCGCGTAGGGCAGAGCAGCAGAAACAGTGAAGGGACAAGTCATCATCAAACACTGAGTTTTGCTGCTGCTGAGCATCTGAGCACCGAGAAACACCAGGTCGCAGCCTCGCAGTGTTCAGCACTCAGGTGTCGGATCTACGGCCTGGGAGTGGGTGCCTTCGTTTCGTTAATTAGTAAGCTTACTTCGGCAAAGTGTTGACCCTGTCTTTATCGTAGCTTACCCGACATGAGTGCCTACCTGTCAATTGGTGAGGTATGATGTATCCAGCTGCCGCCTTATTGATCCATCCAGGTGCCTCACTTAGGTAAGCGAGCTGCGATGATGATGCTTACATAATAGTGCTGGGCAATTGTGAAAAGGACACTTCAGAAACGAAACGACTGCCCATTCCCGATCCGAACCAAGGCCTGCGGGCCCCGTCTTTCCTGGACTGGGACTAGGCCGCTCCGGAACCACCAGACCCATCGCCGAGACCGAGTCAGGTTTTAAACGAAGCCGAACATGCGGCGAACAGCAATGCAACGCATGCAATCGCATCGTGGGCTCATGTCTTGCGTAAGGTAGGACGAAGACGTGGGCCATCGGCGGCGATTAATGTCTTCATACCCACTTCAAAGTCGCTGAGGTCTCAAAACTTTTCCACGCATCATGTTGTATTCCTCGGGCGCGCGATGCTGGGCAAAGCCACCGAAGCCAATGGTTGGGCAGGGGCGAACGGATGGCAAATCTTGATGACCGGTACACGCCAAAGAGACCGGTAGATAGAGCGTCCTTTGTCTCCCGCTCACTACGCCGCTCGTCGAGACATGGCGCTGATAGAAGGCGGCCCGTCACCGCCATGTTGAGCTGGCCATGTATGAAGGACGCCATCTTCAGAAACCTGCATCGAGCTTCAATCAGTCCCAATCGTCACGTCCGGACCAGAGGACAGCATCAGCATCATATGCATGTTCCGGCTGGA